CACTCCGTGACCAACCAACACCAATCAATGCTGGAAGCAGATAGCTCCAACAAAAACCTCGACGTCAAAAACCCAAGGGCTGGCTGGCTTGAGGCATGCGGTGGTCTAAACATTAGTCCCCCTAACCCTAGGTCCCCTCGGCCTCCCCTTCCATTTCCCAATTACCTCCTCCCCCACCCCCTCCCAAACCTCCCTTTCTTTCCTTCTCTCCTCCTTATTCCTTCTTTCCTCCTTCCGTTCCTCCTTCCGTTCCTGATCCTCCACCCCGCTCACATGGCTGTGCCCTTCTTCAAGTCCCACTTCCCAATCCTCCCTCTTTTCCATCCCCTCTTTACATGTAACCTCCTTTCCAACCGCCTGGGTGGCTGTCATGGGGACGTTCAAGGTGGTATAGTGGGAGGGGGTAGTGGTGGTGGTGGCAGTGGTACTTGTGCTGCTGGGGGTGGTGCTGGTGCTGCTGGGAGTGCTGGGGGAGGACATAGACATGTTGGGCGGTGGATGAGGTGATTGTTAGGGCTGGGATTTATAGTGGAACTGGTGTTGGATGTTTGATATTGACGGTGACGGTTCTGGTGGACTGGAGAAGTAAGAAGAAGGGATTGGATGGTTGTGGTGAGGTGAGGTGAGTACACTACCTACTTATATGTCTCTTCTCGTCGTTGGTCTGCTTGTTTCATTGTCAGCATCGAATGATGGGTCTGTTCAGTTTTGGCCATCATTGAAGACTCGGTAGGTAGGAATGGGTTGACAAAGAGTTTCTTTACAGCTATTCGGGGCATCAGAGCGGGTAAACTTGCGTCTCTAATGAAGACGCGCGACATTTCTTCAAACAAGCTCATTGTTTCGAGCCCGGCACGGTATAGGTAAGCTAAGGTCCTGTAACTCTGAGAGGACAAAGAACTCTTATCCCATCTATCCACAATAAAAGAGGAAGAGTGCCGCGCCAGGCTCGGGTTGCTCATGCCATCTGGTTACAGCTGAATACCTAGGCTGGCGTTGTTGGATAGGGGTAGGACAGCTACGGCGTCGGTTGGTTAAGAAACACACCTCACCTTGCAAACTGTTTTTCGCTCTGCCACAAAGCCAAAATACCACCACGCACGCATCATCGCCCTTTCCCCCCTAATCCTTCCCACCTTTTCCACCCCTTCCCTTGATCATGGCCTCCATCTCCACCTCTCCTCTTTCCATGTGACATGTCCGGTCCAAGCTCTTAGTCCCTTCTCAATGCCGTATAACACAGGACCCTATTTCAAGGAGGAAGCAATTACATAGATATGTGGTCAGGAACTTGCGACCCCGTACAAGTCACACCCCCAGTGCTTCATTGTCCCTTTTTAAACCGTCTCGTCTCATTATCGCCCATGCTAAGGTACGGTATGTACAAGGCGGGGGGTGGGGGGTGTAGTCTCGCGATCCTGTTTTCCTCGCGCTGTGATGTCATGTCATGTGCTGTGTTTCCGTCTTCTTCGCGTCTTGCGTCCTGTGTTCCGTGCTCGTCTTGCATGCCCCGCCGTTCGTACCGTATCCCCATCTCATGTTTTGGTATCGAAATCAGTTGCTCCGCGCTCCACCCTTGGCGGCCCTCAACTCGTCCATCTTGGCGACGCGCTTCTTGAACTCGACGTACTGGCACTTTTCGTATGTGTGTCGCTCGTCCTGCGGTGCGGGTGTTAGATTCGGTTCCGTGGTGGTGTCATCAGGCAACGGCCATCGTACCTCGCACTTCCACGGGAGGTAGTAGGTATCGTAGCGACACCGGTTCAGCGGGATGAGCAGGTGGGCGCAGCTGTCGCGGTAGGCCATGGGAAGTTTGGCATCGCTCATCTCCTGGCGAGTGGCCTCTGTTGTTTTGGATTCCAGTCATTAGCAAGCGCTTTCGGGGAGGGGTACCAGAAGGGAGTATTACGCCTAGCAGTGGTGATTGGAGAATCCGAGGCCATCTTGGATCGGCAATTGGACCGTCTCGTGGGAATGGAATGGTGGTGGTGCCGTGGTGGTGCCGTGGTCTTGGTCAAGTCATGTCCAGCATTGGATGTTGTCCATGGTCAAACGGTGGAGCTTGCTTCCCCAGCTTCCAATGATGGAGTGGTCCGAGCGTCATTTCCACAGTCGACAGTCGAGGGTACCTAGACACACGTGGAGAATCACATGACAGCTGCCCAGGCTTGGACACACGGACCAGTTGGCGGCAGCCAGTCCCATCATCACTGAACTTTCCAATTGATCTCACTTCCCACTGTCACTCTCCATACGCGGCCATACACCTTTGCCCAATACACCCGCTGAAGGACATTACAGACGACAATGGTCACTAGCATGTGTTCTTCAACTATCTAATCTTCATCTATCTAATCTTGAACAGGCTCTCCATCATCACCAAAGCGGCGCCAATCCGGCAGCGTGGGACTTTCATCACCATCCCACGGCCCCTCCCTGTCCCATTGCAGCGTCCGTGATCCCCACGGGTCTTGATCGAACATTTTGGCCTCTATGATATTCACGTCACGAGGAGTCGGCGGCGGGGTAAACCGGTTCTTAATCTTTAGATGGGATTCGAGTATGATGGCCTGTGGTTTGCGGTACCGGATTCTTTCTAACCGATACGTCTTGCTGACCCAGAGCTTGTCCTTGTCGACCCGGTCTGGCGCGTCAGGCGGGTGACGGAAGAAGGCTCCCGTGACAGGTCTTCGAAGTTTGCGCGTGTAGAGGGTCCTTGCCTTGCTGCGCAGTGTCTCTTTACCGCCCAGCGGAACAGCCACCGCTTCCAGCTCACCATCGGGGTCCCCGCGGTTGGTGCGCCGTCTCTTTTCGCTATACTTGGTCCTGTTCGGAACCTGATACGGCATGGTGCTCATGCGCTGCCCCGTCGCCCACCTCACGCTCTCGACGCCAGCCCGGGACCTACGCCGTTCGTCCACCTCTCTATCCGCCAGATCGATCAGGGTGTTATGAAACCAGTCATTTACAAGGCGCCAGATCGAAAGTCCACCCGTCTTTCCACTTGTCGTATTCCACTTCCATCCTCTCGTCGAACCCGCCCCCTTCCATCCGGCCTCGGTCGCACAAGCTCGCCACGTACCAAAGCCGTTGGACAACCTCGATCAGCGTCCACGAGTAATTATCATGCAGCCAGTCGCCATAGTCCTGGTACCAGTTCTCCGGGATTACCAGTCTCGTAAACCCGAGCACATCCTGGCGGCCGGCCAGGAGCATATGAAGCAGCATCAGGCCAAACTCGCCCTTGTCCTTCCACGTTTCCCTTTCCGGCAAATCCGGACACTCGTCAATCCTGAGAGCCCTGGGACCGAAACGACTCTTCTCATTCGTCGCCAGCCCGAAATCCCCCAAGATGACCTGCGGGAAACAATCGTTAAAGTGCTCCAGACACCGATCCCGATCGTGATCTCTCTCATACTGCGTCACGAAATGCAGCCAAACATTGGCCAAATGCGCGTCATGATGCGCCGTCGGCGTCCAGTTCGCCGCCCTCTCATCCTCCTTGTCGTTCCACTCCTCCTCTTCTTCTTCTAGCGGCGGTCCCCTAACGGTGCCCCTAGCCTGCGTTTTATCCGGCATCGTCCTCCCCGTATGGATAAACTTGAACGCTCGGCCAACCTGCGCAATAACATGCCGAACTTTCATGGCCTCGGGAATCGGTCTTCGCGCAGCCTTGTACATCTCAATCAGCTTCTCCACCCTGTCGCCGTTATAAAACTTGCTGAAATGCGTCGCGTGCTCCTCGGGCCAGGCGTGCAGCTGGAACGCGTGCGTCTGCGGCAGACTGGTCAGGTGCGGGCTGAACAAGAACCGGAAGCCCTGCGGCGTGCGGACGGTGCCGTTTCCTGGATCGGGCATATTGCAAAACGCGATCTCCCCGGGTACTTCTCCCTCCAACGGAAACCGCTGGTGACGAGGCATCAGCATGTTGGGTCCATACTGAGGTCCGTCCGGCCGTACTGTTTCATACCACCCCTTGATGCGCTTGACCACCACAAACATGGGGTCAGGCCCAGCAGTCCGCCACAAACCGACTGCTACGCCCGTCGGAACAGTGCTGTCGTATTTCTTGAGCCAATTGACGAAAATCAGCTTTAACCCCTCGGGGAAGTCCTCATTCTTCCCTGGGCCCGGGGGGCGAAGCCACTGATTGCCGATATGCCCGTCGGCAGCATATCTTCTCAGATAATCAGGTGCCCGCATGGGGTAGCACACATACGTCAAGTGATGGTAGGGAAACTCCTTTTCCACTTGTTCTTTGCTGGGAGTGTCTTTTTCGGAGAAGCGGTCTTGGAATTCTTGGTCCCCAGTAGAGTGCGTGTTGCCGTCTTCATCGTATCGTTGGACGTCCAGCATCGGGAAGTAATCGGCTGCTAAAGGGGAGGCCGGCTTGAGGTGGTATTCGCGGCGGTTGCCATTGCGCGGGTTCCCGTGTAGCATCCGCAAGTTTACGGCTTCGTTGGGCTCGCTGAAGTTCGAGGTGAGGTTGCCTAGGTACATGCCTTCCTCGGGGACTGGGGAAGAGAAGGGGAGGAAGGGCATTGTTGCTGTTGGTTCCGGTTTGTGGGGTTGGGGGTTTGTCTGTGGTGGTAGTAGTGTTTGGCGTAGGTAAGGTAGAGTTGAAAAGTTGCCAAGTACCCCTAGGTTAGGTACCACTATGGGCAAAGAGTGGAGGTAACAGAAATGATGGAACAGCGGTGAACACTGAACAGCAGCTCTGGCCATGGTCATATCTGTCTGTTTATGAAGACTCGGCGTGCACAAAGGGGTTTGTTCCGGCATTTCATTTTCGCGGCAGTGAACAATGGCCTTTGCAACTCCAGTCCCATGTGCCATTGTACAAAGACCAGACAAGAACATGAATGCCGGGGTGCTTTGTTGAGGGCCGAGCTAAATTAGGTAGGCATGGCCTATTTATTGCCTTCCGACACAAAGAGACAGACAGTCACTTGGACTCATGGGCAAAGCTGCAAAAAGAAAAAAAAGTGCAAAAAAAGAAATGCCTACTACAGGAATCGAACCTGTGATCTTTGCATGTCGTCGTTTACATTACGCCCTTTTTTGAGGAGGGGTAGGTAGTTATACAAGTGCAACGCATTAGCCACTATGCTAAGCAGGCCTTAGCTTGTTGTTGGATGAACCCTGTCGAGCATCTACCTAGATACCACAACACAACTTGGTCCTGCACTACCCTAGTGCAAGTCGAGTTTGCGAAGGCCCTACGCCGGTCTAGTGAGGGCGGACACTCGGTTTTATTGAAGTGTTCCGGATTGATTTGAACACATGTGGTACATTTATCGTCAATTTGTTTCGATATGGTTAGGCATGCATGTTCATTTGTCTATTTACTTGTTGATGTTTGTTTTGTTTCTCAGGCAACGGGACTGGCGATGATTGAAGTCGGTCGGTCGGTAGGACATGTCGCTGTTACGAGGTACCGGCGGAAGGAAGGCGCATTGGAATAGGGTAGGTAGGGCAAGCCCAGGACATGCATACAGCAAATTGCCCACTGCCTGGCTTTCCCAGTTCCAAAACCCTTCTGAGACCAGTGCATTCGTCCCCCACCTTCTTCTTCGACTTTCGGGTATTTAGGGTCAGGATTTGGCAGCTCCTTGGGATTTTCCCTTTCTTCCTTCTCCCCATTGGTTTCAACTACTCTTACACTTCTCTTGGTGCTAAATTTCTCTTCATCCCATCCACCACTACGGTTTCCTCGTTTCATCCACCGCACGTCTTCATCTATCTCCCTCTTCTTGCTCTCAAACCTGTTAGAAGTCTGTGTCTTAGGTCGCCCACTCACAGAAAATCCTTCCAGGTACTGTATTTAGGCTCCCTTGATTCCGTTTCTCTTTCCTCAGTGTGGTTCCAGAATCAACCAGTTTTCTGTTGTTGCACGTGCCTTTCCCAATCTCAAGACAAGCCGCACTCGAACTAAGATGGCCGCCGCCCACACCACCCCAGAGACGATGAAATCGGCCTTGATAAAGGTACTGGCCGAGTTCGTCCAGTCCGCCAATGACCAAACATATTCAAACGACTGGCAGAGGGAAATGCACGCTATCATCGAGGTCTTTGCTCTCAAATACAACGCGCTCTTGCCCAAGTATGCGATGCTTGCAGACAAGAAGAACTACCCGCGCACCAGCAAACTGTTGCATCAGTTCTTTGCCAAGACGCTCCGTAATGCCGTGCATGACCTAGTACCGTTGGACGTTGAAGGGCTGAAGAAGGCAGTTGAGAAGCTTGACGCCGAGTACATGTATGGCAAGAAAGACGATCGTGATGACTACGATGTCGTCGAACCTCAGATCACGTCGGAGGGTGCGCTTGTACCCCATTCGCGCAAAAGACGCGTGGACAGCTCTGATGACGAGACCGAGGAACTTATTTTTCTGCCGCCGAGTGCGCCTACATCCTACTCCCGCAAGAGACGTCGCACCGATACCGTCGAGGCCAGCGAGCCCGCCAAAAGAATTAAGATTCCGAAAGGAAAGCGCCCCGTGTTCAAATGGTTCTCCAAGCTCAAAGTCTACAGCAGTGGTCCGTACACAGTCCGTGTCCCCAAACAGCTCGAAGACTAGCTTGACTTCTTCGAGGTCGCGCTCGAAGACCCTGCCATCGTCAAGATCAAGTTTTGCCATCCCCCCAGGAAGGGTTCCGACTATTCCCGACAGAACCTTCTGAACGACAATCTGGACACGGAGCCAGCAGACACAGCCTAGAGGTACCTCGCTATCCACTGCTGTAGGAAGGAGCACTTTCCCTACCTACATAGTGATTTGCTCTTCCCATCTTCCTGGCCATATCCCTCTGCCGCGGATCTACATCATCAACTAACATCGATCTTTTGCAGACACGCAGAGACACAAACCATTCTTGAGTTGGCATCGGCGGGTACAAAGGCCAGCGAGGCCAAAGGCAGTAATATTAGGGGAGAACGCTGGCTCTACTAAGCAGATAATAGCTTAATTTGGTTGCTGTTCGTTTCTGAAAGAACCCAACGGACAGTGGGTTACGTACCCCAATTTCGCTACGTGAATGCCCGGGCGCTGGCTGGCTGGTACCTAAGGTAGTGACGGCCGGTCCACAGTCGCACATGTCTGCTCATAGCGGCTGGATGGTGGGCGGAGGGATGGATACATACTTATGGATACTGGACACTCGGCGTTTCTGAGCTGTTGATATCTTATAAAGTAACAGTTCTATTTTGATAACTATTCAATCTGCGGTAAGTTCTACGTGTCTTGTAGCAATGTATTCCTGTGGTAGTATTCTCCCGCCATTTGCTAGGTCCTTTTTCACGTAGCGAAGTCGGAGGTATCGGTTGAATGCGCTTGCCGCTTTGTCCCTGGGCAAGCGGGAGGTTGCGCCCCACTAGAGTTTTCCATCCATATTTTCCATTTCCTTTGGCAATCTCGACCTGACCTTACTTTTAGCCAATGCCTTTGCCTCTTTCCACCTCCAGTACCAGCTCGTCAATCAGCCATTTTGGTTCTCATCTACTCCCAAATGTCCATTTCCACCTCCGTTTCCATGGCGTCATCAACGATAAGCGCAAACCCTTTACGCCTTCACGAGACGACTATACGCCTCCTGTTTCCCATCAAGTACCAGCAGAAGAGCCTAGATTACACTCCAACTCAAATACCGAGGATAAGCCTTCGACGATGGAAGGGTGCGGAACGAACGCCTTCAGTAGTTTCTCGCCAATCGCCAGCTAGAAGTTTTTAGCACCGAGTTCGACGATTCCGAAGGAGACCTGACCACTCCAACACACATACTATAGCATCAGTTCTTTGTCAAGTTCCTCCGTAAGATGTTGGACGACCTGCCGCCCAATGCTACCAACCTCACAGTCTGTCTCACCGGCTTTCTACAATCCGTGGCTTCCACACCGCTCAAAACGTCAACGGCGGGCTTGACGTTCTCGAATTTACCTTCGACGACCCTGCGATGATTGCCGCTAAGCTGGGCTCGGCAGGCGATAGCCGCTATGCCACTGTTGCCGGCGATGGGGATGTCGACTTCTCAACGACAGTAAAGTGGGCGCAGAGTTAGTAGACGGAGACTAGCTCTCTTCTTGGTTTGGGAAGAGGGGGCGCCATGCTTGGTGAGTTACTCCTCCTGAAACTGAATTTAGCACATCTCTCCACGACTTATCCATGCCCGACGATAACTAACAGAGACCTTTCTGACAAGCACCGGCTCTTAAGGGCTACGCCTCGTAACACGCCTTTCGACCTCAGTACTGCCCCACAGACACTGGTCATTCTGAAGCCGGCCGATACCACACTCGCGCAACCACCGATGTCCGGCTTTGCCAACAGACGACATTTACCACCGCATCGTGCGAGGCACCTTCTCCTAAAGGGCGCTCATTCGGTACCTAGTCTCTAGAGAAGTGTCCCCCAGTACCACCGACTATGGAACACGGATACGGATCCTGATCTGGACGAGACAATCAAGCTGAAGAAACGAAACAAGGGCAAGGGGGAGGAGTCCCAGCCAGAACACTCGAAACAGGCTCAGGAAAGAGCACAAAAGAAGGAACAGAAGAGGGCCGACAATTTGGGCATCCAGGCCGAGTGATCAAACCCCTCTTCACCAGTTCCTCACCTAGATACCGCATCCATTACTCTGCCGACCCTCTCCAAGGCTTCAATCTCGCGCCTGCATACCTTACCTTTCCATCCTCGGCCAGTTACCCCCAAAGGAAGGAACTTGACAAGTTGAACGCCTCGAGGCTATCGCCAATCAAGAGTTCGCCGACTGGTGCGACTCCTTTGGCTGTGCTTGGCGCAAGGGCGGATCACAAAGACGAAAGCTGAACAAGAAGAAGTCGCTGGCCAACCTGTTTGGCGAAAAGAGAGGAAAAATGGAACCAACCATTACTTGCCAGCGTCTTGTCAAATGCGCTTTGCTTGGATGGCGATTGCTGGATACCTACTAGGAAAGGCGCTTTGCAGGAAAGAGTTTTGACCTTTGAGTATCTTCTCTCGCGGATATTCCATGGTTTTATGCCAATGCTGACAGAAGGACGAAGAAAGCGGACGCCTGCCTATGGGTCTTAGTACGATACAAAAGGAATACCTTGTATGTACCTACTATTCCGTTTTATCCACAAGACTACATACGTCGCCCTGGGCCTTTTTTTCTTTACTTCTCTTCTTTGAACTTTACGGAGCAACGACTTTCTGGGAACTTCCGTGGAGTATATAGACTACCCTCAGCTCTATTTTACGTTTCCCGTCCACCGCTACCTCTACAGCATTTGAAGTGATTTCTCGTTAACTATCTGCTTCCTACAAACAGCAGTCATACCTACACATAAGCCCCTACAAAGATTTTAGCCGTCAGCTCAACCAACTTCCCAGCCTTGCCTCATCAACTGTCAGAGTCACCAGGCAAACAGGATGCCACGAAACACGGATGCGAGACAAAAGGCGGCGGAAGAGTGGTCGAAGCGTCTTATAGACTCTGCGGGCAATTATCAAAAGGATAGTATAACGTATACCCTCCGCGACCTTGTCGAAGAGATCGAGAAGCGAGTTGCTCAAGTATGGAGTAGCAACAACAGTAGTGCCGCATGGCGAGAATACTTCGTCGCCGCCCTCAGGAAGCTTTTAAGAGAGATACCAGGGGCGCCCAAAGATATTAGCATCGAAGAATTACGCACGGAGATTGAGCGCCTAAACTCGTCAGTCAAAGCCGCCGCACCCCCCAATGGCAACGATGAGGCCAGCAAGCCCGCCGACACTACCTCCACCGGCCTCTCCACCAACACCACCTTCAAAGTTGACACCCAAGGCGACTACAAAGCCCGCGCCGTGAAAGATGGCACCACAACGAGCATTGAGTTCCAGCTGAACGGTCCGGCTACCGTCGTGGTCCAGACTGCAACTACTGGAACTGCTGCCGCCCGCACTGCCGCCCAGCTGGGCACCCTTTCCCTTTGGAAGGAATAATAGGTGAGTTAATCTTAGAGCATGCCACTACGGGCACTCAACCACCTACCAACGCTCTCAGCTTGACCTCCACTCTGTCCAGTATGACATCAACTGACAATCATCTTCCGGTCTAGGCATCCAAAAGACGTAGACGCACAGATTGTCCACGGAG